GATATCAGCCAAATGTCAGGAAGTTTCCCACATCTGGGAAAGATCTTGATCATCCCAGAATTACAGCATTCCAAAACAAGGATCCCAATGTAGTATTTCCCTCTGATCGTAGTGGAAGTTCAACACAAACACAGCCAGTGTTGGCTTTGTGGTGGCTGGCTTGAAAAAACCTAACACCCCAGCTGAGCCCCTTTTCCATTAGTACCTACTCGGATCGACCTGCCATGGTTTTCGGGGTTTTTCATTAGGTCATAGTACCTGGTACTAAAATAGTACCTGCATTTTTCTCAGGGAAATGGCCACAAAAAAAACAATGCCGTGGTCCTGAGTCTGATGAAAAGTCACAGACCAAACAGCAGGTACATCATCGCCTCGACATCCACCTTTGTTGTATAATTCGCGTTGCAAAATAATGACATCAAACTCAGACATGCTGCTATAACAATGACCACGCACAATCGGTGGTACAAGATTGTAATGGGAAACCAGTCGATCCAAGTAGGCAGTGGCACTAATGAAAAAAAAAGGGCTTTGGAGATAGAAGGTATCACCACAGTGGTTCTCAGCTTTCTTTATTAAGAAAGCTGAACCCATCTGCCACGTTTTCTCCTTCAGGCTCTGAGTGTTTATATAAAATGTGGTATTTCACATACCACGCAACTCTGCACAAAATGATCCCTATGAATGCAGCCATTAGAGCTCTGACTAGATGCATTTAAAAATTACAGCTTGATGCCTCACAGCCTAATAAAGGAGACATGGTAATTGTTTGACACAGATCAAAATTAAAGAAATGTGATTGATTGACAATAAATACCATGATTAAGTTGCTTTGCTGCAATTTCAGGAGTATGAAGGTGTTGCACGTATTCTAGCGGAATACATGCAACACCAGCTCAGAATGGTTTTAAATGACTTACCTGAAGACAGAAAGAAACAGGAGAGCTGTAATCATCAAAGAACATCCCTCCTTCTCAGATGTCCTGCTCTTAGATCGCAACTATTTGTTACCTTCATGTGATTTTGGCTTAGATTCTAGCTTGTATCGACAAACACACTGAACGTGACTGCCAAAGAGTGACCTGAGGAATATGAGTATTGGCTGCTGAGATGTCACACACATTCACAACTGTGAGCATTACTTTTTCAGTAACAGAAACCTTAATAAAACACAACTAGAATCGCATGAACTGCCGGGCTTCAACTCAAGCTGCGACTTTATTTTGGTAGGACCGTGCAAACAGTGGTCCAAAGAATCTGAATTTATAAAATGATAATAATAATAATAATAATAATAATAATAATAATAATAATAATAAGGCTGCAACGATTTATTAAGTAATTCTAATATTTTAAAAAAATACAAATAAAAATTTGGCACAATTTCTTTGCTCTGTAGCTCTGTTGTCACCATGGAAACACGAATGCGAGCGTTTCACCCCCATCTGCGATTAAAAACAGACCTGCAATACAAACGTATTTAAGAGCCGCGTGTGAAAATAAAGTCTGAAAACATTAAGCCTAAAGTTTTAAACACACACATGCAGAAGAGTAAAGAGGCGGAGCCGTTACCGAGACGGGAGCTCAAGATGAGTGAAAGAAACTGTGTTTCTGGAACCCAAAAACAGCAGCGGTGTTCCTGTAACCACCATTAAAACCTTTACTGGGAAAAAGCTGACAGGAGCCCTTCATCAAAGCACCCGTTTAACAAACTCCAATTTAAATCCAATAAAGACTGTTTTACATAGAGACAAATCGGCAGTATGCCTCCAGAAGCTGTATTAAAATATCCAGATCAACTGACGGCTGACAGTAGCCATTCTTTTATACATATAGCCATACCTGCAGCAAACAGGGGTGAGTCTAAAGGGGGCTATGGGGTGTACTAGACCATATTTACTTCAAGGCTTTTGAAACATTCTTCAGATTAAAAGTGAAATAGTGTAAAATACTTTATTAATTTGTTTACATTAATATTTAAAAATATAGAAAATGCTTTTTCCACAAGCCAATAAAAATGTACATTGGCTAGTAAAACTCTGAGCCACTGATGATTATTATTATTATTATTATTATTATTAATTTTGATCAACATCTACACCATCATAAAGTCCGTTTTCAGGAGCACAAAAACCTGTCTCCTGTTAATGTCAGAAACTCTTCCAAGAACACAGAGTAAAGGTTATTTTTTATGCCTTAGTGTAGATTTCATGTGTCTTATTTTTATTTGACTGTACTTGACATCATTTATATATTTTTGCATTTAAGAAAATAGTTTCTTTAAAATTTTAACCTTAATATGGCATCTTGATGCATTCTCAATCATCCATCCATCCATCCGCTTCCGCCTATCCTTTTCAGGATCGCGGGGGGCACTGGAGCCTATTCCAGCTGTCATAGGGCGAGAGGCGGGGTACACCCTGGAGAGGTCGCCAGTCTATCGCAGGGCCAACACACAGGGACAGACAACCATTCGCACTCACATTCACACCTAGTGGCAATTTGGATTATCCAATTAACCTATCCCCACAAGCAATTCTCAATCATGAATATTTGTTATTGCTCATTAATAAGATAAAAGTATTTCTTACCCGATTAATCGATGGAATAATCGGTAGATTACTCAATAAAATAATAGAGCTGCAGCCTTAAAAAAATGTGTAAAATAGAAAATGAATGCAATGTTTAATTAGCACCTTGATTAGTTTTGATTACTACCTTGAATGGCCTGAATAAGAATAAGGATGCGTTTATGTAGAAATTAGTATTGATGAGGGGGAACTAGTGCTGATGCTGTCAAGGGGGCCTTTTCCATTAGTACCTATTCGGATCGGGTCGGCACGGGTCGACTCTATTTTTAAGGTGTTCTATCAGGTGGTGGTACCTGTATGAATCGATGAATGAAGCAAGATGTATAAAGCCTTTGAGTGCTCAGGAGTAGAAAAGCACTATATAAGAACCAGTCCATTTAATAAGTACATGTTAAATCCCCACAGGTCACGGTCACAGATCCACACCCCATCTGCATTTCTTACAACACCGACTTATTTTCCAGGTTTGCAGGTTCAAGGCAGCTGAATAAAAACCTACCTGTTATTATGCACAATAACGTACTTCACATCTACTGCTTACAAATAAACGTCTCTGATGCCGCTATAATATCATGTTCTATTATTCATTGTGCTCCTGAAGAATGAAAAGCAGCAGTCATGTACCTGAGGACTTGTTGTAATCTGACACGCGGCTTCAATGCCAGAAAAGTCAGAGAGATCAAGCAGCATTCCAGTTTAATGACTGAATACAGACCTGCTGAACAGCAGGGAGTCACTGTTTAAGACATTTGTGCTTATAGTGTACTAGCCAATCACTAAAGCCGAGGGAGGCACTTCACTTCAGACCAACTTACTTTTAAACCCAGACAATGTTTAGGTTTTAATAAGCTAAAGGAAGATTCTTATTAAATAAATTTGTGAATCATCTTATAGTAACTTATTGACACTGCTGGGTTATGAAGAATATGGGGAGTATTTTATTAACACCAATATTAATAGTGAACATTATTACATAGAAAGAACCTGAGCATAGAAAAAGTGCTTGTATGGCTGACTGAGGCATGTTGTATAAAGTGCTTTGAGTGCTCAAGTAGAAAAGCACTATATAAGAGCCACTTACAATCACGTGTGGCTATATTGATACTGGGAACACTGGTAAGGACAAAATAGTGGTTGTAGCCACTTTTCACACACTGGTAAGCTCACCAACGACATCTTCATCTTAACACGAAAGCCAGCAGGTACGAGTTTGATATAGGCGTCTGCCAGCTAGCTACTAGAAAATCTGTCATTTGTGCAAACATTGGTAAGGACGACTGAAGGAAGAGCTTCAAACCGTTACTCTGTTTTTTTTAAATTATTCATCTAAGAAAACCACTCTTTTAGTTTGGTGTTTGCACTGGAGCTTCAAGGCTATGTTGATGATGCTGTTCCCTTCAAACAACATCCAGTAATTTACAGATCAACATTCGTGTTGCCTCATTTACACTTTCACACCATTTTAGTCAGTGCGTTCGGCTGTACTTCAAATGTAGTACAGCAGGTATGTCACAGCACCATTTCTGCCGCAGCACCACACTCCTACAGATTTTAACTCTGGACTTTTTGAGTCCTTGCACTGTGTCTGACCTCTGCCATCAAATTAAGAATGAAAAACAGTCTGTTTGTGTATTAGTGATTTGGTACTTGGACTATTTTAATATGGATTCCTAGTTCTTGTCCCTAATGCTGGAGGACGGCTCTGATAAGATCTTTTAGCAGTTAGGAAGTATCGGACATTTCAACATGACACTTCATCATTGTCCATTTTTCTCATCAGACTGTATATAGGTTATATCTGGGAGTGTAAAAATTCAAGAAATTCAACATATTTCTTAGACATAACTGGACCACATGACCTTCGCCCAGCTGTGAGAGTGTTCTGGGCACATCTGGTTTAGTCAGTGCTTTTTAGCAATCAACAGCATCTCTGAGTGGACTCAGAGTAGACTTGATTAGGAGTTACAAAAGCACTCTGCAGCCCATCTAGAACCTGAAAAGCGCTCACTGCAGGAGACTACTTTCAAAGTGAAAGTTCTGATGTGATGGACTTTTCAACATTCAACAGGAATGACAACAAACATCCACAGGATCTTTGCTGAGTGGCTGATTTGTGCAACAGCAGTAGCATGCTGCTTAAGAGTGCATACATGCATGTGCATGTTGCTGTTGAATAAACTGATTATCCACAGACCAGTTTTGGACTGTACCTGAGGTCAAATTACTGCTGGGCTTTGGGCATTCAACAGACAGACAAGGGAGCCACCTCCACAACGATTAAAGGAGAAAGCTCTGCACTGTTCCAGATGGCAGCATCTCCATCTATTCAGACACTCAGTGATGACACAGCAGCAAACAAAGCAAGAAACCAGACAGAGAGGAAGAGGAGGAGGAAGCAGAGGTGCCTACCTTGGTGCCAACTGTTATATCGTGGTGGACACTGCTGTGAAGAAAAGACAGCGTGTTAGAGGCAGCCAGGGAAAACTCAAACACAGAATGAGTCTCATTGAGGTATCAAAAAAGAAAGGTGATGATGTTGAAGACTGTGCGGGAGCAGGTGGACAGAAGCCGAGAGAGGCCCAGCAGCGATCGGCAAGGGACCAATGGCTCGGCGGGTTGGTTTGCCCTGCAGATGGGACATCTCTATTCAGCACCTGCTTGCCTCAGTATGCACCTCACCTTTTCCATAAAAACCTCACGGCAACCTCAAGTGTTTTTCACACAAGATCCAAACGGTGGTAAGAGAATGAAGCAGACCTTTCTCCACAAGCAGCACATGGATACTAGCTCCACGCAGCCTCCAACTGCTCTGACTGCTACAATAGTCTGGTGACGGTGGAGGTGCTGCCTATTGAGACGCAGCTTTTTGAAGCCAGTCAGAGCCACTTGCACCTCACTGAACTCTCAGGTCAAGGAACCCTGCACCCTCTTTTCCATCACCAACCTTTTTCCTTAGGTCAGAGGTCACAGGAGCGGCCGCTCAACCCAAAAGCTTGAGAAGTTCTGCTGTTTTTGAAACCAATTTTTGCAGTTGGACATTAGAACACTCGAGGCACTTAAGACCCGAAACTTGTGTTTATTGCTTATTAACTATCATAATTTCTCATTCAGACCAAATCATTGCAACAAAGCTCCAGCAACCAACCAGTAAAGGCGGCTGTGAACACAGAGCAGCTGAAGCGTCTTGCCAGTCACATGGGATATGGTCACTCAGTACAGGAGATACAGGATGCGAATGTGCTCCACAGCTGCTTTATCAACTATGGATATGACTGAAATCCTAGACCAAGTTCAACTAAAACTAAATCAATAAAAAGCTGAGTGATGCTAAAGGATTCACAGTGAACAGATAAAGACATTTTTTCACTGCCAAAGCAAACCATCAGCTCATCATCAGATGACCAGGCTTTGATAAGCCGGGGATGTGTAGAGAACTGACAGTGTGTACTGACCCATGGTGTGAACACAGTCAGCTTCTCCACACACACACACACACTCTCAAATGTGTGGGACAGAAAGCCGATGCTCCTTCAGTAACAGGAGTGCTGGTGTCTTTCTGCCCATCAACACTAAGCTTTGACTTCAATTCTAGTTCCTGTCTGTCGGGAACATGGTGGTATCCCGACGGTCTCTGTTACACAGTCTGTAGAGTCACAGTTATCAGAACAGCTGCTCCTAACAAAAAACTAAATAAAACACACAGACATTTAATCCAAATCCGTGTGGAGACATCAGCATTGCACTACAATGCATTTGAATACACGGATATTGCCGTGAAAGTCAAGCAATGCTAACAAACTATTAGAGGGCTCTGGAAGGTCTTTGCAAAGAAAATACATTTATTGGCTTGTGAAAAAAAATTATTTATATATTTTTAAATATTAATGTAACTGAATTAATAAAATATTTTTACACTATTTCACTTTTAATCTGAAAAATGTTACAAAATGTTACAAAAGCCTTGAAATAAATATAGTCTAGTACACCCCATGCCCCCCTTTAGACTCACCCCTGTTTGCTGCTGTATGGCTATATGTAAAACAACAGCCTGCAGCAGGCTGTATCATTTAAACATGTATTAGACTGAATTAATAGTTCATTTGCATATTTTAATACAACTTCTGTAGGTATACTGCAGATTTATCTCTGTGTAAAACAAACAGTCTTTACATTGGAGTTTGTTGATTGGGTGCTTTGATGAAGGGCTCCTGCGAGCTTTTTCCCAGTAAAGGTTTTAATGGTGGTTACAGGAACAGCGCTGCTGTTTCGGATGCTACAAATAAGTTTTCTTTTACTCATCGTGAGCTCCCGTCTCGGTAACGGCTCCGCCTCTTGTGTGTGTCTGTTTCTGTTTAAAACTGGAGGCTTAATGTTTTCAGACTTTATTTTCACACGCTGCTCTTAAATGCGTTTGTATTGCAGGTCTGTTTTTAATCGCAGATGGGGGTGAAACGCTCGTGTTCTTGTTTCCATGGTAACAACGGCGCGCTACAGAGCTGTGCATTAATCGAAACAAATACTTTTTTGGAGAATTTTTCGAATTAATCGATAAATTATATTACAATTCAAGAAATTCCTTTGTGTAAAAAAAAATAAAAAATTTTTTTTAAAGCATTACTATAAGCACACAGTGCACAAGTCCACTGAACAGCAGTTTGACTTTCTCACACACAGGTACTATATCTACATCCTTTCTGCTGCCGCTTTGACTTAACATGGACTGCAGGCTATACTCCAAACATGACTTGTTGGTGTTGTTCACCCCCCTCCCCACAAACACACAAACTTCCATCCAGTATGCTGAAGTTCCTCACTTTCCCCTTAAAGTGTATGTTTGCCTGTAGACAGAGGTGAGAGTTACGTAATTGTGGAACTGATTTATCGGATGCAAGTCAAAGGAAACCTGCCCTTTTTCACCCCACAGCTTTTTGGAGGAAATGTACAAACAATGGGTCAGTCTCAAAAATAAAGGTTTGCTGAACAAACCTACCCAAAGACGCCTCGATATGAAAATGAATAAATGACACAAAGAGCTTGGAAAAAACTAAACAAAAAACAAAACGCGTTTTACACACTAAGGTATGGCCCAGAGCAAGTGAAAACCGGCTGGCCAGGCTGAGGCCCACACCACTGTGTTCAATGAGGAGCAGCTGGAAGAGGAGCCCTCAGGGCAGGGATGAGTCCTGACGAAACACAAATATTCCATCAGGACCGTGAATGCTCCACAGCCCCCTGACTGAAGCTGAAATGACACGCATTATATTACGAGTGGACACAGCTACCAGTGTGATCAACGCTAATAACGCTGCTATTTTTCCCCGTCAGTCCACACAGTTTAACAGCAGCAGGCTTACAGGCCTCACATTCCCTCCCTCCACCAACAAAGCTGCTTTCTCCTATTCACCATCGCTGCAACGGAACTCTGTGAAAAACAGCCACTTTTAGGCCCTTTCCCTAATCCAGCAGACTAAAGCAAGACACCATCTATTTTACGTCTAAACCTGAGCACACACTCAAAACAAAATCACCCTCAGAAAACAACACACGCACACTCCTGATGGCGACTTCTACGAGTGTGTTACCGCTTTTAAAAATGCACTCCAGATGAAACATGACAATTAGGAGTTTCACAGCAGTCTTCTCTCGCTCACACACACTTTAAAGTACAGTTTCCGCATTTAAAGGATTAGAGGGCCAGCTCCACATTTCGGGACACACGACACAAGTGAAGTTACTTTATTAATTCATGCTTTTATTCGTTTTTTAAATTTTAACTGTTTCACGTGAACGACTGCCTGGCAAAATAAACCAGAATGGGCGTGAACCTCTAACCTGTGTGCTCTGGTTACTTCTCACCGCTCATGTATCCTATACATATCACCAACAACCTTCCAAAACGTCCCCGAGCAGAGCCTCGGCGGGTAACCGGGTCGCGCTTCAGTGCGGCCGTGATGTGGGACTTTGGAGAAGAGAGGTAGGTGCCCGCAGAGCACGGCCCACCGTGAGCTAACAGCACAGCTAACTGTGCTAGCCTCGCTTCCTGCTCCCAGCACAAAACCCACTTCTGCGACTACTCCGCGACAGCAGGAGCGCTCCCTGCACACTACAGCGCCTCCGAAAAACCCCGGTGCTCCCGGGTTTCCATGAAAGAGCAGAAATGACATTTAAGCGGAGTGTCACCGTGAGACTGTGGAATAACTCACCCGTCCATTGCACAACACGGAACTACAGAGCAACAGGTCCCAACAGCAGCCAACAAGGACCCCGAGCACCGCCGCTTTAAACGGACAAGATGGCGTCCGTCGTGAGGACTCGCTGATTGGACAGCTCGCATAACTGGTGGGCGTTCATGGGCAAAATCGTACGTTGATTGGCTGGTTGGACCCAAAATACAACAACAAAGAAGAGCTATTCCAGCGAAGATTTGCTATGAGTAAGATACGCGCATTCACGGGAAAAAGCGGATACACGTTTTACTCTGTGAAAGTGGGCGTTGTCCAGACAAAACAAACTGATTATATATTATATATATTATATTATATGTCTGAAAGGGCACCTGAACACTTTTATATTTGATTTTGAATCTGTAACATCAATGACAAAACACTAAAAAACATTTTGAGTATACTGACCAGAAAACTGAGGGGGGTTTAGAAGATTTTGCTTGTATGTGACAGTGAATTTTATTGTGTGGTGTAAATCACAGTTTATTCTGTTCATTCGACAATAAAACCTCTTACCTTTAAACCTGGGGAAAAGGGGGATGCTTTGTATAGTAGTAACCCTGTTTTTTTCCGTGCAAGCAAGGCTAGCAGTGCTTGCCCTGTGAAATCTGAAAATACATCAATTACAGTACCACAGTCCAAGATCAAGACGATTAAAAGAAAAAATAACAATAAAAGACAGGAAGCACAAAGTAATAGAAATATATATTTTAATTTGGTCCAGTTTGACTTTTTAAATTGTGTGGAATGATGTGTTTCACTGTCCCCAAGACATTATAACAAAGCCCAGAAGTGCAGGAACATGGTGGTATCCAGCTTTAATCAACCTATTTCTGCGCTTCACACAGGAGCCTGTTGGACTGGTGTCATATAACAGGTTGATAAATAATTCCTCCATGTGCTGCTTTCCAGGAAACTACTTGTGTGCTTGAAAATGATACAGCTGAACACACAAATAATTCAACAGATTCTCATACATAGATCATGTGTTTTTAAAGGGAGACCACCTGGCTGGCTCAGACTTTTCTCTTGTAGCCCATGCTTTTTGTTGGTCAAGGTAAACTTAAAGAGGTTGACAGAAATAAAAATGTAAAAAAAAATCACTAACTCATCTACACCAGACATTTTAAAGCGGGTGTAAAGGACTGTAATCTCCACATTTCAGCTTTCTTTTTTTTTTTCAAAATAGAGTTACGACTTTAACCTCGAAATGTTGAATAATATTTTTTCCTTATGTGGCTCTAATACTCTTTCGTAGCAGAGGAATGGAAGACAAAAAATACGTGTGTGAATGAAGGACTTAGAAGGAGGTAGTGAAGGTGGATACCTCGCGCTGGCCATTTAAAGAAACAGCGCACAAGCGAGGTGAAGAAGAGACTGCAGGCAGGTGGAGTGGGTGGAGACGAGTGTCAGTGTTGATTTGTGACAAAGGGATAGCAGCAAGAAAGAAAGGGAAGGTTTACAAGATGGTAGTGAGACCTGCAATGATGTATTGTTTGGACATGGTGGCACTGACACAAATACAGGAGGCAGAGCTGAAGACTTTCAGATCTTCATTACGAGTGAGCAGGATGGACAGGGTTAGAATTAGAAGAAGAAGAAGAAGAAGAAGCGGCACGCCATTGGTCAGAGTGGCTGCAGCGGAACTTGCTATTGGCTGATTCTGTTGCCCCGCCAGTCGAGTCGGGAAACAGCGCCATAATTAAACTGTTGCCGACCTGTGTTTTCTACGGATTGTTTACGGCCTGATTTACTAAGATAGTAACAGACAAGAAATTTGTTCCAGGAAGGTTGGAACTTTTTTAAATCTTTCAGTGACCTTCCCAAAGAGTTAAGTTTTGTTACGTTTAGGCAGGTAGCAAGGGCGCTAATATGGCCCGATCGCTAGGCTAACGCAAATACCCCAGCAGTCGGTAACAACAGGCTTAATTTAGCGCTCACAGTCTCTTCTTTCAGCGACAACAGCGATGAACTACCCTCGAAGCCTCCAGGGTCTGCCGTGTGAAATGTTCCAGGAGACTGCGAGAGCTCGGTGAGTTAATGTTAGCACACAGCTAGTCGTCAAAGCTGCTCCGTTACAGGGCCCGTTCCTTTGACAGCAGGTAATAGTTTAATAACCCACCCCCATCTCCCAAAAACGACAAGAGAAATGAAAGCTGTTTGGTCTGTTATGGATTATATCACAGGCTGTGAGCCTCGCGTGTTCCCCTTTATGACAGCAGCGAAGGAGGCGATCAGATTCTGAGCTGGAAGAAGGTTGTAACTTTCGTGTTGACTTGACTTGGCTTGGTAACGACAACAAACAGTCTTCCTTCCAGGCCAAAACACTGCTGAAAATCCACAGTCTGTAGTTTCCTCTGGACCTCTTTTCCCCAAGCCTCAATCAGCATGGATGCCATTCTCCCATTCCCATTTGGGCAACTCTAGGAGTATGAACGTTAAATAGAAAGCACTTAGGTAGAAAAATGGTGATTGAGGCAAGTTGTATAAGGCCCTTTGAGGGCTACTCAGAGTAGAAAAGTGCTATATAATTTACCATCTAGATATCTCTATATAAACTGAACTTGTCTGTGAGTTTCCGTGAGCTATAGCTAGCCTCGATTTAACAGTGAATTGAATAAGCTCTTTAAAAACTTTATGTCAACATCAGTGAAGAAGACCAGAATATACTTTGACACTTGGACTCTGAATACAAAAAATAAAATTTCTTGTCATTCTTTAATGATTACGTTTTTGTGACTTGATTAAAATGTGAATCATTTTGTTATGAAATATAACAAAAGCTGTCTTTGGAGTGTCCCCATCTTATCTCTTGTGGTGTACAGGAACTCTGTGAACCCTCGGACACCACTGAGTTTCCCTAAATCCAGATCAGCTCTGTGGGACAGCAGCCCCATGGGCGAGAAACTCCGCCTTCACCTCAGCTCACACAGGTAACTGCTTCCTTGCTGATCAATAGAACTGGTTGTGCACTGTTGTAGTGAGAGCACATTGTAGCTGAGATCTAGACTCACTGCTTGTGGTCTGCTAATGTGCGCTAAAGTCTGCTGAAGGAAAAGACTGCATACTAAGTTATTAAGATCTTTATTAAGAATGGATACTTTTCACATTTGAGTGAAAATAAGGAAAATAAGATGCTTTTTTAAACCATGTAGAGCAATTAAAACATGACAGACTTTTACACTTTATATTTTATTCACTGAATCAATAACAAATGTAACCTACTATAATCTTGTCATATTTAAGTGACAACAGATGAGGTATGTGTCTCTGCAGGAAGCCTCGGTTGGTGCTATTAGAGAAAACTCTTCGTCTGGCGCATCGTCACGCCCGTCGCAGTAACAAGCCCCGCCTCCACTGTTTCTTATTGGGAACGGTTTCTGTCGATTCAGGTCAGAGGTTAACTTCAGCTCATCCTGAATGCTGATTCAGCTCTTTTATAAATGTGTCTGTGGCATCGAGCACCTTAGTCCAGCTGTCTGTCCTCTGTGTGTTGCTGTGGTTCAGATGAGGAGGGCATCACAATCACCCTAGATCGCTTTGACCCGGGTCGGGATCAGGCCGGAGCCTCGGGTCCGGTTCCCTCTGCTCCTCTGCCTGGAGACGTCCTGGTTCCCTGTTTATTCTCCTCTCAGACTGAGACTGTCGTCCAATCAGAGGCCGAGCTCCATCACTGCTTCAAGGTGAGTTTGTTACCCTTCAGCCCTTCCACTTCCTCTAGTGGCCACTTGAAACTGCCTAAAGATTACACAGACAAAAGCGAATGCAGCACATGATCAACTCTTCTTACTACAATGATCTTGGCATATGCATGCTTAGACTGACACAGATGTGGTTTTAGGTGGAGCACAGCAGTTGCTGGTGTTCAATTCAGCTGTTCTTGTGATTTGGCTGAATCACAAGAACAGTTGCCTTAAGACACTTTATATTGTAAGGTAAAGACTCTACAATAATACAAAACTATGTTGACTGTGTGTTGGTGTTTTAGGTGTTGCAGCAGTTTGTGAGCAGCCGACAGACTCTAGATCTGTCTCAGCTGCTAAAGGTCAAAGGGCATGTGGCCTGCTGTGAGCAGAGTGATTCTGCAACGTTTACCCTCAGCTGGTCAATCATCAGTCCGTCTGTCAGCGTGGAAGTGGAGTCGGTCAGAAGTGTCCCCATCATCCCGACTGCTCTGTTCAGGAGTCTAACCAACGTAAGCCGACCACTGGGGCGTGACAGCAGCCGACAGAGAGGGTGAGAGAGCGAGAGTTCATCACCACACGTCTCGGCCTCTGATCACGTTTGCTGACGTCTTAGTTCTCTTTTCAGGTTTCTGACCATGGACCAGACCAGGAAGTTGCTCCTGCTGCTTGAGTCTGATCCGAAAGCCTCCAGCCTGCCGCTGGTCGGACTGTAAGCTTCACCTTTCATCAGACAACCCTGGGGGGGGCGGAGTCCAAATTATCACCTGGTAGTTCTTTTGGGATGTGATTAGCACTGATGTATGAGTTCTTTTAAAAAAATTGTTCACATTTTAAGAAATTCTGATTTTAATTTTATAATTATTAATGAGAGGCACTTGTATTTTTTATGAAATGTTCTACTCCGAGTAGGAGTACCGAGAAAAAATGATGTGAAAGATTTTTTAGATGAATTCTAACAGTCCAGATGTAAGCCCAGATGTTTTTGCTTCTCTTAAGTGGGGGTATTTCTTTCTGCTTCCTGTCTCGTGACAGCTGGCTGAGTGGAGTCACACACATCTACAACCCTCAGGTGTGGGCCTGGTGTCTGAGATTCATGTTCAGCTCCACCCTCCAGGACAGGTGAGGTGATGGTGGCAGAAAGGAGTGGATTGGACGTGTACGCGTGTCTGATCGGCTGTGCTGTGTTTCAGAGTGCTGTCCGACGGTGGCTTCTTCCTCCTCGTTGTGTTCAGTTGCGCTCGCAGAGCTCCTCAGTTCTTCCGCTGTCGAGGCTCAGGACCACAGCTG